CATATGTATATAAATAAGAAAAGCATCGACACGCTGGAAAACTTTCCCTAGGAAGATGTAACTGTAGGGGAAGAACTGTTCCACATGGGATACAAATGCCATGTCACCGGCTTTCCCTAGGGCTCCTAGGGAAACATTCTTTCCCTAGGGTTTTTGTCAGAAACCGTAGGGTACAATTGATTTCCCGTCAAAATGCTTCCTAGGACGATTTCCCACAAAAATTCTTTGGGAAACCATTTCCCTACTGTTATTTCAGTTTTTCCCAAGGGTTCCAGCCCTAGGGAAATTGGTGGATTCAGTATAAAGTATGACGTCATCGTATCATGGGAACTTAGGTTTTCCAAGCAGACTTCAAATCTTACGTGTACTTTTAGATTGTTTACGGTGGGCTGATGGAACTTCTACGCATCTAACTATTTTAGCCCACTTTAAAAATATACGGCCCTTTGTTTAAAAAAAATACGGCCCACCTGAGAATAAGTGTGAAATATAATTTGCCGGCGCTTTGCTCACGTCCGAGCGCGCGGCCCAGGAAGGTGACGCATTGGATACCCTGTGGCTGCGGCCGTGTGCCATCGCCGTCGTCGCGTAGAAGAAATCGAGCAGCACATCGTAATATCTCGGTTTAGAAGCGCCGTGATGACCGGCAGGACACGTCTCCGCCCTATTTTTTTTCAATTTAGTCTATTTTTTGTCAAAATTCACACTTATATTCCTAGGTGTCAAAAACCAATCTTTAGACCCTGACCTCGGCGCCGTTATCTAGGCGCCAAGGTAACACGTCTCAGCACCATAGGTAGTAGGTCCGGAGTGGCGTGGCTAGCGACGTGGTTGGATGCCATATAAAATTTGGTTGCATTTTACCATAAATAATATACTACTATATAATTGTTGACGTCGATTTGGGTCACATACCGGTAGGGGCTAGATTGTCTAGAGACCGCACACGGCCTAGCACGTAGCGGAGGGAGGCCCCAACGGCGAGGCCAACCAACAGGTCGACGTGCCGATTAGATGCTTGTTCTTTGTCCGATAAACCCACACATGCCTCCTAGGAAGACCCGTCAAGGAGATACACGGTGGGGAGTGTTCCAGGATCGGCAAGGCCATCTAGAATGCCAATGAACCTCGTCGAGAGATGCGCCGGGCAACAGGGGGTTGGAAGACCTTGAGATAGAAGATAAAAATAGTAGATGTGTTTTTTAAGGATTGGGTGTTGGAGACCTCAATCAGCCGTCACCCTTAATTATATGGGCGTGGCTAATGCCCGGACATTCGGATGGACGCGCGCGTTTCGACGCCTGCGCATGTCCGAACACCCATGTAGCCTGCCCCTATCTGCCTCGCCCTGCCCCGCACGCGCACCTTGCCCCTGTCGCTGCGCCCGCGGCACCTTCCCAGCGACCCCGCTCCTATCCATCCGCAGCGGGTCATGAGAGCCAGGATGAGGACGAGCACGCCTCATCCACAGACCCAGACGCTCCATGCCCCGACCACCATCACTTGGCTCACCGCGCCTGATCCCCCAACACCCAGACCGTGCCCCCATGACTCTCTAAACACACCTCTGAAACATGAAACATTTGAATTGCAACATACGTCTGAATAGACGAAACATTTAGAACATACACTTGAAACTGGGAAACACGAAAACACTTACTGCAACATAAGACCAAAACAACTGAAACCATTGGAACATGCTCTTTCAACATGTGTAAAACATATGCAACATCTAAATAAAAAACGCTTCAACAAATGAAACATTTTCAACAAACGCTTGCAACAAGCCTCTGAAACACTTGTAACATATGGAACATCCTTATCTATTTTTGCAACATCCATATAAAACACTTACACCATACCTCTGAACACTTGAAATATAAGCTTACAACATGTCAGGCACGACACTCTAGTGGGCGGCGACCACCATGTCAGGTGCGATGAGGAACTCGATAACTGCCTCAATGGGTAGATCGGGGCTATGAGACAGTGGAGTGGAGAGCACCACAGACTGGCCCCCCCCCCAGCTTCTTCCGCTACCGGGGCACGAGAGCCTCGAGACCGGCGCGAAGTACGGCATTGCTGTGATGCCCTCGTCGTCTCTAGCATAGGAGGAGGTGATGAAGAGGACACCGGCACTGGCACCGGCGATAAGAGCAGGGGCGGGCAGGAGGCGCGACTCCAGCAGCGGAGGCTGGCGTCGCGGAAGCAGGCGAGGGCCACGGGACAGCGGAAGCGGAGCGGAGCCTGCGGCGAGTATGGGGCGGAGCCTGTAGCGAGCCGGTGAGACAGAGTGGGATATATATTTTTTTTTATTTAGGAAGACCGCGTCGGGACGGATGGACGCCTCACCGTAACATTATCGTTATCGTTATTATAAAGGGCAGCTGGCCTTTCCTGGATATAGGAAACAATCGGCAAAGGAGGCTGTTTCCATAATCGGCGAATGAGATAGTTTCCGATTAGACTCCTGCCTCTATCCTTCGGTCCAGTCGTACGTGCTAATTCAAAGCCGTAAGTCCAAATTGTATTTCGCCGATTCAAGCAAGACATACTTGATGCACATAGAGCCTGGAAACGTATATTTATTTCCAAATCGAACATCTAGCCAATGATCTTTCCTTTGTCGCTTCATTCACGTGATATTTTGAGCAAGCCGACATCCATATCACTAATACAGAGACGGGCTTTACTCCCGGTGGGGAACTCCCTCTAGTCCCGGTTCACCACCCGGGAGCAAGTATCCGGGACTAAAGGAGGTACTTTAGTCCCGGGTCAGGAACCAAGTTATCTCTTCATAGTAGTGAACCTAACCACTGATTAAATCAGAAATAGATAGGTTCACTTATCACTATTTTTTTTGGAAAGGGGGTTTGGGGGAAAACCTTTTTAAGGGGTTTGCCCGGATCACCTTTCCAAGCTATGCATGAATAATACTTCTATACCTTTCATACACCTTGAGGGGCCTTTCCGGTATAGCATTGCGTCGGTCACTATCGCAGGCAAAGCTCCCTGAGGGAACCTGCCAGTGGTTGCTTCCTCCTAGCAAGGAAGATATGCCACAATCTGTGCCTTCTTGTCCTTTGTAACTCAAGTCTATAACCTGTCCTTGCTAGGGAATGTGTTCATCGACTAGGTACGCACCTTTAGTCCCGATGGGTAACATCAATCCGGATTAAAGGTCCTCCCAGCTTTAAAAAAAATAATGCCTCCCACCGCTGCGTTCCGTGAGACTCGAACCCAAGACCTCATGCATTGCCTCGCGCGTAGCTTACCACTCCACCTACACAACACATCTAACAATGGGTGTGATGCTTCCCTTTTGAACTAACCCATCGGGGGACCTTTAGTCCCGGTTGGTGTTACAAACCGGGACTAAAGGGTCCTTTAGTCCGGGTTGGTGTTACCAACCGGGACTAAAGGGCACTACTAGAGAAATGGGTTTTAGTGCCAGTTGGGAAAGCCCTTTAGTCCTGGTTTTTTCCAACCAGGACTAAATTCCCGGGACTAAAAGTCCACACCTTTAGTCCCGGGTCTGGGAACCGGGACTAAAGGTCACCCACGGAAGAAAAAAATAAAGGAAATCCTAGAGGCCTCGCTTGCTCTACGTGAGATTCGAACCCAACACCTCTCTCCTCGCGCGTAGGTACATTACTAACTCAACTGCACACCATTTGTTACAGAGTCATGTGCGCTCTCCTTTTGAATAGACTCGTGGGAGACCTTTAGTCCCAGATAAAAGACCTTTAGTCCCAGTTGAAGACACCAACCGGGAGTAAAAGGTCACCATTTAGTCCCGGTCGGGACTAAAAGTTGAACTTTTACTCCGGGTTGGTGACACCAACCGGGACTAAAGATGACTTTTAGTCCCAGTTGGTATTACGAACCGGGACTAAAAGTCCTTTAGTCCCGAACGTAAAAAATATCGAGACTAAAGGCTAAAATCGAAGTGGGTGAAAGGTCTGTTTTCTAGTAGTGGGGTCTACCTTTAGTCCCGGTTGGTGTTACCAACCGGGACTAAAGGTTGGAGGACTTTTAGTCCCGGTTGGGAGTAAAGGTCTACCTTTAGTCCCGGTTGGTGTCTCCAACCGGGACTAAAGGTCTCCTGCCACTGTGCCAAGCATAGTAACCGTTGGGTAGGGACCTTTAGTCCCAGTTGAAGACACCAACCGAGACTAAAGGTCTCTCTAGTCCCGGGCGCAAAAAATACCGGGACTAGAGCTTATATGTTGTTGCAATACGTCTTTGCTGATTCACCCAAATATTCCACACCCAAATAATCGGCCGAGAAATATTAACAATATATATAGCTACCGATGACCAAATAAATTAACATGTTAATTATTTCGCTATATCTCACATTTACGTAAAATACAACTCAAGCCAATTTCGAGTGTCAACAATAATCTATCCACGAGACTCAGCAAAACAATCACCGTTCCACACCAATTTTAGTCTACTCCAACACGTTCGAAATCATCGGCCATTTTATGGTGTTTTTCTCTTACAACAAATCAGTATAAGCTAAATTTCAGCGAAACGAATAGGGCATTGTGCAAAGGTACGGTGTGGATTCCAGTTACAAGACATAATTTTTTTGGAAAAAAAGTTCTCCCTGAAATAGAGTTGGAAGTTAGACCCATATGATGCCAACTGGAATGAAATAGAAATTCATTCTACCAGTTCTTGATGTTGCATACTTAAATGATTGAGGGCTAAGTAACGTTGATTGGACTGCGCTTCGGTCAAACTACCGAACTGCAGTTCGCCACCATTATGCGTGTGCGCTTCTGGCCGGCGCCTCAGTCGTCCAGGCTGCTAGCAACACACTAGAAAATGAGACATTCTGTTGACCGACACTACTAGAAGATGGAAAAAGAAACTCCTATTAATTTTTACTTGTTAATTTCATTCTCATTAGTTGTCCACTGCTCCTATTTAGCAGCTTAATTCGTTTGTCTCCCACTGATCCATCTCCCGCTCCGCCATTTATCTCTGCCATGCATCTTCTCCGTCCTTTTGTTCTCTCTGTGCTCCTTTTCGTCACCCTGCACGCACCCTCGCCCTCCGCCGCCGCAGACACGCTCCGACGCGGCCATGCACTAGCCGGCAGTGAGAAGCTTGTCTCGGCCAATGCCAAGTTCGCGCTCGGCTTCTTCCAAACAGGGAGCTCGTCCTCGTCCTCTAAAAACACCCTCAATTACTCCTACCTCGGCATATGGTTCAACAAAGTCCCCGTGCTGACCCCTGTGTGGACAGCCAACAGGGACAATCCGGTCTCCAATTTCACTTCGCCGGAGCTCATCATTTCCGGCGACGGCAACATGGTTGTCTTAGCTCAGGGCACCACCATCTGGTCTACCCGGGCAAACACAGCAACCAACGACACCGTCGCTGTGCTCTTGGGCAATGGCAACCTTGTCCTACGGAGCTCCTCCAACTCTTCGCTCACATTCTGGGAAAGCTTCGACTACCCGACAGACACAATGCTATCCGGTGTAAAGATTGGATGGAACAAGGCCACCGGCTTGAACCGCCGACTTGTTTCGAGGAAGAATTCCATTGATCTATCTTCAGGTGTATACTCCTCGAGGATGGACCACGATGGGGTTGCCAGGATGCTATGGAACTCATCTGTTGTGTATTGGTCTAGCACGTGGAATGGTAGATTCTTCAGTTCGGTACCAGAGATGTCTGCAGGTTCTGGCCCTATAGCCAATTATACCTTCGTCAACAACGACCAAGAGCTTTACTTCACCTACAACATATTTGATGAGAGCATAATCATACACACTAGGCTACATGTCTCTGGACAAAGCCAATGGCGCATTTGGACCGGGCAGGATTGGATGACAGTGAACAACCAGCCAGCACATCACTGTGATGTGTATGCTGTCTGTGGCCCTTTCATGGTCTGCACTTCTAGTGCAGATCCTTATTGCAGTTGCATGCATGAAGGGATTCTCTGTGAGATCACCTGCGGATTGGGAGATAGAGGACAGAACAGGTGGGTGCATCAGAAACACTCCACTGAACTGTGGCGCTGATGATGGAAACAAAACAGGTATGGCAGACAAATTCTACTCCATGCCAGGCATTAGGTTGCCCGAGAATGGCAAAATCATTCCAAATGCATCAAGCGCGAAAGAATGCGCACAAGTTTGTTTGAGTAATTGCTCTTGCACTGCATATTCTTACGGAAAAGATGGTTGCTCTATCTGGCGTGACGAGTTACTTAATGTAGCTACTGACGGTAATGAAGAAATGATTTACCTTCGCCTTGCTGCAAAAGAGTTACAGAGTGGGAAAGGCAATAGGAGTGGCATGACATTGGTGTTACCGTTGGCACAAGCATTGCTGCTTTTGTTTTTATTCACCTCATATTGATTTGGAGGAGAAATGGGAAGTGGTCTAGACCCGTAGTAGACAATGATAAAGGTAGTGTTGGCATAATTGCATTCAAATATTCTGACTTGCAAGATGCAACAAAAAAATTCTCGGAGAAGCTAGGCGCGGGTGGTTTTGGTTCTGTATTTAAGGGATGCCTAAGTGAGCCGATTGTCATAGCAGTGAAAAGGCTCGATGGAGCTCGACAAGGAGAGAAGCAATTCAGGGTAGAAGTAAATTCAATTGGAATCATCCAACATATAAATTTAGTCAAATTGATTGGATTTTGCTGTGAAGGTGATAGGAGGTTACTCGTGTATGAGCACATGCCAAATGGCTCCCTGGATTCTCATATATTCGAAAGTTACGGTACAACTTTAGATTGGAACATTAGATACAAAATAGCAATTGGAGTTGCTAGAGGTCTAGCATACTTGCACCATGGTTGTCGAGACTGCATCATACACTGTGACATCAAACCACAGAACATACTTCTGGATGCATCATTTGTTTCAAAAATCGCAGATTTTGGGATGGCAAAGTTTCTCGGGAGGGATTTCAGCCATGTTGTGACTACAATGCGAGGAACTGTTGGATATCTTGCTCCAGAATGGATAAGTGGAACACCTATTACTCCCAAAATTGATGTTTATAGCTATGGGATGGTCTTGCTAGAGATCATATCTGGAAAGAGGAACTCTATTCAACATTCATCTAGTGATATTGAAGGCCAAGGAGACTATTTACCTGTGCAAGTTGCACACAAGCTTCTCCATGGAGACATTTTGAGAATTGTGGATGCAAACTTGCATGGCGAAGTGAACATGGAGGAAGTCGAAAGGGTTTGCAAAATCGCATGTTGGTGCATCCAAGATCGTGAGTTGGATCGGCCCACAATGATTGAGGTGGTACAATTTCTCGAGGGAATATGTGAACCAGAAATTCCTCCAATGCCAATGCTACTCTACGCTTTTGCCGTAGGCGGCTCATATCAGGGGGAGTGTAATATGTAGCTTTTCAGCAAATTCAACAATCCATGAAATGTTTATCGGTTGTTATGGCAAATAAATTTGTTTTCTGTAACATGTAATATTTTGTCTTGTGGTGTATAAATAATTGTATGGCCTAGCTTCTTGTACCACACATTGTCCTTCACTTGTAGTACAAGTTGTACTCCCTCTGTACATAGCTATATATACATATGAAATGCACCCCCACAATGGGTGCATGGTGATTCCCCCAATACCTTACTAAATGGTATCCAAGCCTCCGGCCTAGGTCCTATCCCACCCAACCCTAACCCTAGCGTGCCGCCGATCCTCGGCCGCACCATCCCTCCTGCTATCGCGCCACCTACATCCTGGGCCGCGCCACTCCTCCCTTCCCCACCCCTCCACAATCTAGCTAGCGGCGCCGGCACTCCGCCATGCCACCACTATCTCCCCCATCTCTAAGATGACGACCGCATCGACCTCCGGCACCACGTTTGCCGCTCTCACCAACTAATCCTCTGGATCAAATCTTGCACCGCCTTCAACATCCTGTCGTACGCTACCATCACCATCAAGTCTCATTTGCCGATCACCCTCGAGTTGAAGCACCCTAACTTCTCCCTATGCGGCAAATTAGGTCTCCGCCCGCACGTCGACGGCATGGCAGCTGACATGTCCCGATGATCCGACTTGGGTGGCAGCCGATTCCTGCATCCACAACTGCCTTCTCAGCTCCGTCGCTAATGACATCCTTAGGCCTCGCCCTAGAGCCAGATCAGACCTCCCGATGGCTATGCACTGCGATCGTGGGCCTCTTCTAGGCGAACAAGGTCCCCCGCGTCATCGTCCTCAATCACGAGTTCCACTCTAGGACTTAGGGTGACCTGTCCACCGACGAGTACTGCCAGAAGATGAAGGCCATCACTGATGCACTGCGTGACATCGGCCACACCATTGTCGACTTACAACCTCATCCTCAACCTAGTACATGGCCTCAAACCTCACTTTTCCAGCACCGCCGACAACATCACTGACTTTGATCCACTGCCTGACTTTGTAATGGCTCACGACAAGTTGGTTCTCAAGGAACTCTATCTCGCTAACGAGGGCAAGTTCATGTCACAGATGGCCCTCTACATGATGGCATCCCCTTCCCGTGTCTCGGCCTGCTGCATTGCCTCCTCTGGCCTAGGCGCCCTCGGCCTCGGTAGTGGTGATGGTGATGACCATAGTGGTGGCAACTCTGGCAGCTGCGTGGTGTGTCGGTGTCTAATGACCGGCAACACATTATGGGGCTACCCGAAACTGGTGATTGGTGGGCTTCAGTGAGAGCTAAACTCAATGGTGAATGCAAAGACAACGATTTATACTGGTCTAGGCCGCTGAATAGCGTAATACCCTATGTCCAGTTAGGCGTGATGCCTTGCATTTGATTGCTTTATATTATTGTGTTACAAGGGGTGCTCCCGCCTCTCTTTATATAGTCCAGAGGGCAGGCGCATATCCTGAGTCCTAGTCAGCTACGATAGAGGAGTTCTAGTTCTATTATAGAACCTAACTTTCCTAGAGTCCGCCTAGGTCGGTCCTTTATATTTTGGAGTACACGCTACCTTGCTAAGTATTCATGAGTAGACCATGGGCTAGCTTAAGCCCATGCATGGCGAGTAGTTGGCCCTGTGGGGAACACTTAGGATCCTGGTCCATCAAGCCCCCAAGCTCTTCATTTTTGATCTTGGAAGTCATCTTGAATCTCCAGGACATGGCCGAGTAGAATCAAGCAGCATCTGTGTTCCTTTTGAGAGAGACCATGGAGTGCTCTTGAAGGATTCGAGTGGTGTGCACTTTCTGGCAAAGTGTACTCACTGAGTGTAGCCCCCGAGCCTCTTGATGTTTAGCATAAAGAGCTGGAGGGTCCATTTTGCAATTACTTCAATTCATTTCGAAGAAATTTGAATGCATCCGCTGAGGTTATATATCCCATAGCTCCCGAGCCTAAAACTGACTACCCATACAATTATAGGATCTTTGAGACATCATCAAGGGTGCAGCCGAGTAACCTCCTCCAGACCAATGATTAATGACCAATTTTCGTTCAGTGGTTGGTTGCTGTGGATCACATGCGAGTAGTAAAGAGAATCCTTACCCTCTGTACCAGCTTTGTCCTCACATTACCCATGATGTACTGTAGAGTCACATGGTCGATTGGAATCTTGTCCTTGCTGTTTTAAAAGTAAAACTGACTGTCCTTGCGAGAACATGTGGAGCTGTCCTGCCAAGTCTGGTGAACTCTGTCTAGAAGCTTCACGTGAACCCCGTTAACGAACATGAAGGCTAGCTAAAATACCCCCTGGCAAGCTCATCAACCTCACCTAGTATCTATGTTGCAAAACTTTTAGTCTTCCGTTCTTGAATATGATAGTGTCCGAGATACCGGAGCCCCCGGTCATAGTCGAATTAGCTAGAAGCAACCTTGTCTTGCAACTAGAGGAATTCTTATGACAAGGAGTAGCATCAGGCTAGTCCCAAGCAGATGCAAAGCCCAATAGTGATCAGCTGCAGCTAGAAGAATCCTGGTGACAGCTCGATATAGAGTTTTAGCTCGGTTACTTGGTGATTCTTCGCGCTTGACTCAGCAGCGTGGCCCCAGAAGCATTGTCCTCGGCTCCGCAGGCTACCTAAACATGTAGGCTAGGAAGCTTTGCTCTGTCTTACCCAGACCTTGATGCACTGCACATCTGTCCGTGAAGCCAGGTGTGTCGATGTTAGTGTTGCCGCTCGGGTAACACTAAAAGTATTTGTATCTTTTGATGGCCGACTAGGCCGTGTACTTTGTTCTTCAATATCCGACTTATAATCCAGCCTTGGATTGAACAAAATCTTTAAAATTTTCTTGATACGTAGCCCCTGAGCACAGTCGGAGCAGCGCCGACTTAGCCGCGGCAGTAATGGATCTCCCTCACAATTATTTGTTGTTATTTTCATTCTCATTAGTAGCATGAGCACCACCTCAGAAGAGGACAAGCAGCATCAATTCATCATATTACGTTGACTGACAGTACTAGGAGTCTAGAAGATGGGAAAAGAAACAACTAATAATTATTTGCTGTTATTTTCATTCTCATTAGTAGCATGGGCACCACCTCGAAGAGGACAAGCAGCATCAATTGATCACAAAAGCGTGACTTCACTCATCAGCCATCGGGCTCCTACTCCCAAAATAAATATATTTTCTAGACTTATCTAAAGTTAAACTATATTAAGTTTGTCCAGATTCATAGAAAAGAGCACAATATGACACCAAAATAATGCCATTAAATACATCATAAAATATATTTTCTTAGCGTACTTATTTGGTGTTATAGATATTAGTACTCTTCTATATAAAATGGGTCAAATTTAAAATAGATTACCTTAGGACAACACTTAGAGTTGATTTATTTCTAGGACGGGGAATATTTTTTCTCTCACAAACATATGAAAGCTTTGCACATCAATTTTTACTGATAGAGGTAGAGGGTCTCAAAATTGACCAAAATTAATTACATATATACCGTGTTACTCAAGAAATGTAAAAAGAAGATTGTAGGAGATGCTCTATTATCTAAAAAGAGAAGGAAGAAAGGCCATTATCTTGCATTGAACGCCAACAGTATTTTTCTATTTCTTGAGCAAGTCGTTGAAGATAGCGACAGCACTAAGATTGGCCACTGCTCCTATTTAGCCTCTTGCCACCACCGGGCACCAGCAAGGCGGCAAGCTAGCTAGCAGCGTCAATTCGTTCCCTCTCCCCTTTCCACAATTTGGTTTACCCAGTCCTTTATTTGTTCCAGCCTCCCCAGTCCTTGGTTTAGCCATGCCTCTCTTCCTCACCCTTTCCAGATTTCTCTTGTTCTTATACATCCTGAAAGATTGTGCTGCCAGAGACACCATCGCACCTGGTCAAGCACTTGTCGGCAGCGACAAGCTCGTCTCCAGCAATGGCAAGTATGCACTTGGCTTATTATATTCCAGACAGGCAGTAAGTCCTCCAACAACACACTGAACTGGTACCTTGGTATTTGGTTTAACAAAGTTCCCAATTTCACTCAAGTATGGGTTGCAAATGGTGACAACCCGCTCACAGATCACAACACATCCGAGCTCAAAATCTCTGATAATGGCAACCTTGTCATCTTGAACCAAGCCACCAAATCCATAGTCTGGTCCACACAAGCAAATACCACAACCAATAACACTGTAGCTATACTTCTAAATAGTGATATATTGGATGTCTCCGGTCGAACAAAGACATTCATGTGGCTTGAGAGCTCAGAGAATTGGTTAATGAGCTATGGTCAACCCAAAGCTCAGTGTGATGTCTATGCTGTATGTGGACCTTTCACAGTTTGTAATGATAATGAGCTTCATTTCTGCGACTGCATGAAGGGTTTCTCCATCAGATCACCCAATTAGGATTGGGAGTTGGATGATCGAACAGGTGGGTGCATGAGAAATAGTCCATTAGATTGTGAGAGCCACAAAAGCACAGAAATTTCAACCGACAAGTTCTATTCAATGCAATGTGTTAGGCTACGTCATAATGCCTACAACATAGAAGCTGCTACCAGTTCAGATAAATGCAAATCAGTTTGCTTAAGTAATTGTTCTTGTACTGCATATTCCTGGCGCAATGGAGGCTGCTTAGTATGGTACGACGAATTACTCAGTGTAAAGCAGCAGCAGCAGTGTAATGACGTAACTGATACTAGTGGAGGAACTCTATTCCTTAGCCTATCTGCGAAAGAGGAGCTTAGTCAGAAAAGCAGTGCAAGAATGAGGATTGCCATTAGCCTTGCTGTAAGCTTTGCCATCTTGTCACTGGCACTGGTACTACTAATGATTTGGTGGAACAAGAGGAAAAGGTACAGATTCACACTGGAAACTGCTCAAGGTGGTGGTGGAATTATTCCTTTTAGATACACTGATTTGCAGCATGCTACAAGAAACTTCACAGAAAAGCTAGGTGAAGGTGGGTTTGGTTCAGTATTCAAGGGAGTTCTGGCTGACTCAACAACAATAGCAGTGAAAAGGCTTGCTGGTGCATATCAAAGAGAGAAACAATTCAGGGCTGAAGTTAGCTCAATTGAACTTATCCAACATATAAATTTAATTAGGCTAATTGGGTTTTGCAGCAGAAGTGATAGCAAATTGCTTGTCTATGAATATATGCCCCACCGTTCCCTTGACATTCATCTATTCTCAGGTGATGCTGAAATCTTGAATTGGAATACTAGGTACCAAGTAGCTCTAGGAATTGCTAGAGGACTAGCCTATTTGCATGAGAGCTGTCGAGATTGTATTATACACTGTGACGTGAAACCTCAAAACATACTTCTAGACGAATCATTCATCCCCAAAATTGCAGACTTTGGAATGGCAAAGTTCTTAGGTAGGGAGTTCAGCAGGGCTTTAACTACAATAAGAGGAACCATAGGATACCTTGCACCTGAATGGATAAGCGGAGGGGCAATCACACCAAAAGTTGATGTTTACAGCTATGGAATGCTTTTATTGGAAATTGTTTCAGGAAGGAAGAACACACATAGAGAATGTACCACTACTAGTGATGATGATACTTATTTCCCTGTGCAAGTTGCAAGCAATCTTCTTTTGGGAGATATTGGAAGCTTGGTGGATCACAAATTACATGGCGATGTCAATCTAAACGAAGCTGAAAGAGTTTGTAAGGTTGCTTGCTGGTGCATTCAAGACAATGAGCTCAATCGACCGACAATGGGTGAAGTGGTTCAAGTTCTTGAGGGTTTAATAGAATTAGACATTCCTCCAATGCCAAGGCTACTTCAAGCTATCGGAGGTTCTCATTCGGCGTGAGCGTAGTTTTTATTTACCGGAGAAAAAACTTTTAAATTCCAAGGGTCCACTAAACTTTTCATTAGCTGTGACAGGATTAGCATTTATGTTGTTTTTTATAAGAGAAATTTTATGGTGCTTGGAAAAAATGACAACCATTCATTCAACAAGATCGAAAGGTGGAAAATAGGAGAAACTCATTGAAAAGAACTTTGTGGGCCGAAACCATAAATTAATGGACTAGGAATTAATTACAAATGTATTTTAAAGGGTATAATTGTACTTACATAACTTGGTTTATCTGATTCGATCCAACTCAAACAATGCAAAGTTGAACCCGATTCACTAGCCATGGACGTTGTTGTTAGATAATCTATTGCTACCTTGTGTGAACACAGCAAGGGAAGACGACGCCGAAAAGACCCCCTGCTGTGATATTGTAGCCGCTGCAGGTGCAGGCGCCGCACGACGTGGGTCGGGTGTCGTGAGGAAAGAAAAGAAACGAACCATTTTTTCTATGTAATGAGTAGCATTGGTGAGTAATTAACCTCCCCCAACTTCATGAGCACCCCTTGCAGTGCTCCATGGAATCCATGGGTCTGGCCCCAAATATAGATTTTTGTTGACTTCATCTGATGGTGGGGGAAGTGTTTGGGTAAAAAAATAGGATCCAGAGCTGATTTTTATGGATCTAGACAACTTGGAGCTATCTCAAACAGGCTCTAGTCTAGATACTTCTGATTATTATGAGAATTTTTAGGATTTTTTTTCTAACATGTTTGATGAGAATTAATGTGATGCTTTCGTTGAGCCTCTCATTACTAGCGGCATCAATTGATCATCAAAGCCTGAGTCCACTCTTCAGTCATCAGGCTTATCACTAGATATTTTGTCTCACTAACACACAAAAAAACTTTTGCGCATCAATCTTTATCGATAGAGGGCCGAAAAATTGACCGAAGTTAATTATAAGTGCCTTTCTCAAGAAATGTAAAAAAAAGTCTAAGAGATGCTCTATCTAGAGAGAAAAGGAAGAAAGACCGGTAACGTGCATTGAACGCCAATAGTACTATCTCTTGACTCTTGACTCTTGACTCTTGACTGAGCAAGTCGTCAAAAATAGCGACAGCACTAAGAATCTAAGATTGGTCACTACTATTTAGCCCCCCACCACCGGGCACCGGACAGGGCACTGGCAAGCTAGCGGGCAGCTTCAATTCGTTCTCTCCCTTTTCCTCAAACAAAACTTGGTTCTCTCCGATCCCGTTGGTCGATCTCCCCGGCAGCTCCGCCATTTATCTCTGCCATGCATCTTCTCCGTCCTTTTGTTCTCTCTGTGCTCCTTTTCGTCATCCTGCACGCACCCCCGCCCTCCGCCGCCACAGACACGCTCCGACCCGGCCATGCGCTTGCCGGCAGAGACAAGCTTGTCTCGGCCAATGGCAAGTTCGCGCTCGGCTTCTTCCAACTCCAAACAGGGAGCTCGTCCTCTAATATCTCCTACCTCGGCATATGGCTCGACAAAGTCCCCGTGCTGACCCCTGTGTGGACAGCCAACAGGGACAATCCGGTCTCCAATTCCACTTCGCCGGAGCTCATCATTTCCGGCGACGGCAACATGGTTGTCTCAGCTCAGGGCAACACCATCTGGTCTACCCGGGCAAACACAACAACCAATGACACTGTCGCTGTGCTCTTGGGCAATGGCAACCTTGTTCTAAGGAGCTCCTCCAACTCTTCGCTCACATTCTGGGAAAGCTTCGACTACCCAACAGACACCCAGCTACCTGGTGTAAAGATTGGATGGAACAAGGTCACAGGCTTGAACCGTCGACTTGTTTCGAGGAAGAATTCCATCGATCTATCTTCTGGTATGTACTCCTCGAGGCTGGATCACGATGGGGTTGCCAGGATGCTATGGAACTCATCTGCTGTGTATTGGTCTAGCACGTGGAATGGTAGATTCTTCGGTTCGGTACCGGAGATGTCTGCAGGTTCCCCAAACGCCAATTTTACGTTCGTCAACAACGACCAAGAGCTTTACTTCACCTACAACATATTTGATGAGAGCATAATCACACTCACTACGCTGGATGTCTCTGGTCAAAACCAAGTGCGTGTTTGGACCGGGCAGGATTGGATGGCAGTGGACAATCAACCAGCACATCAGTGTGATGTGTATGCTGTCTGTGGCCCTTTCACTGTCTGCACTTCTAGTGCAGATCCTTATTGCAGTTGCATGAAGGGATTCTCTGTGAGATCACCTGCGGATTGGGAGATTGAGGACAGAACAGGCGGGTGCATCAGAAACACCCCACTGAACTGCGGCGCTGACGATGGAAACAAAACAGGTATGGCAGACAAATTCTACTCTATGCCAGGCATTAGGTTGCCCCAGAATGGCAAAATCATGCCAAATGCATCAAGCACGAAAGAATGTGCACAAGTTTGTTTGAGTAATTGCTCTTGCACTGCATATTCTTATGGTAAAGATGGTTGCTCTATCTGGCATGATGAGTTACTTAATGTAGCTACTGACGGTAATGAAGAAATGATTTACCTTCGCCTTGCTGCAAAAGAGTTAGAGAGTGGGAAAGGCAATAGGAGTGCCATGATAATTGGTGTTGCCGTTGGCACAAGCATTGCCGTTTTGGTTTTTATTCTCCTCATGGTGATTTGGAGGAGAAATGGGAAGTGGTCTAGACCCATAGTAGACAATGATCAAGGTAGCGTTGGCATAATTGCGTTCAAATATGTTGACTTGCAAGACGCAACCAAAAAATTCTCAGAGAAGCTAGGCGCAGGTGGTTTTGGTTCTGTATTTAAGGGGTGCCTGAGTGACTCGATTGCCATAGCAGTGAAAAGGCTCGATGGCGCCCGACAAGGAGAGAAACAATTCAGGGCAGAAGTAAATTCAATTGGAGTCATCCAGCATGTAAACTTAGTGAAATTGATCGGGTTTTGCTGCGAAGGTGATAGGAGGTTACTCGTGTACGAGCACATGCCAAACGGCTCCCTGGATTCTCACCTGTTCCAAAGTTATGGTACAATTTTAGATTGGAACATGAGATACCAAATAGCTCTTGGAGTTGCTAGAGGTCTAGGATACTTGCACCATGGCTGCCGAGACTGCATCATACACTGTGATATCAAACCACAGAATATACTTCTGGATGCATCTTTTGTTCCAAAAATTGCAGATTTTGGGATGGCCAAGTTACTTGGGAGGGAGTTCAGCCGTGTTGTGACTACAATGCGAGGAACCGTCGGATATCTTGCTCCAGAATGGATCAGTGGAACGCCTATTACTCCCAAAATCGATGTTTATAGCTACGGGATGGTCTTGCTAGAGATCGTATCGGGAAAGAGGAACTGTATTGAACATTCGTCCGGTCATACTGAAGGCCAAGGAGACTATTTACCTGTGCAAGTTGCACACAAGCTTCTCCATGGAGACATTCTGAGCATTGTCGATGCAAACCTTGCATGGCGTCGTGAACATAGAGGAAGCTGAAAGAGCTTGCAAAGTTGCATGTTGGTGCATCCAAGATCTTGAGTCTGATCGGCCCACGATGATTGAGGTGGTACAGTTTCTCGAGGGAATATGCGAACTAGAAATGCCTCCAATGCCAAGGCTACTCAGTGCTATTGCAGGAAGCAGCCCACATCAGACGAGAGTGTGATCTCTATAGCTTTTCGGCAAATCTAACAACCCATGAGAAGTATGTCAGTTGGGATGGCAAATAAATTTGTCTTGTAGTGTACAAATAAATTTGTTTTCTGTCACATGTAATATTTTGTCTTGTAGTGTAAAAATAAATCTGTTTTCTGTAACCTACAATATTTCTGTGTACCCTAATATTAGTATGTGCCAATAGGTCCTGTCATACAAATAAATGTAGTAATATAACCGTGCCATAAACGGGCCTCTATGTATGCCACTTCGACTGTCAATTGGGATGGGAGATGGTGAGATCAACAATTATATTGTTATTAAAATCCAACCCTTCTCTGCGCAGCTTGAGCTGCTGGTGGCATGCAGTGTGTTGAATACTGACGAGTTTTTTGAATACTGATGAATTGATGATGGGAAAGCTTGATGCAGTATGTTTAGTCTAGCAATGATATGACACCTCTTGACAAGTAAATTAAGGATATGTAACACTATCAGCACGCATCACCATATTATTTTGTAGTTCCAGAACCAACTGGGAAGCCTCTGCTTCACCAACTGTGACTATATTCTGTAGTTACGGTCTTCCGAAACCAGCTGTGAAGAAGCCTCAACTTCACCCACTGTGTTGCTGAGTGCTACATATATATTGTTCTATCTGTTCCAGCTTCCCTTGTCCTTCACTTCACCATGCCTCTCTTCCCCTCCCTCTGCAGATTTCTCTTGTTCCTATACATCCTACAAGATTGTGCTGCCACAGACACCATTGCATCTGGTCAAGCACTTGTCGACAGTGACAAGCTCGTCTCCAGCAATGGCAAGTATGCACTTGGCTTCTTCCAGACAGGCAGTAAGTCCTCCAACAACACACTGAACTGGTGTAGGTATTTGGTTTAACAAAGTTCCCAATTTCACTCAAGTATGGGTTGCAAATGGTGACAACCCACTCACAGATCACACCACATCTGAGCTCAAAATCTCTGATAGTGACCAAGCCACCAAATCCATAGTCTGGTACTAATGATTTGGAGGAACAAGAGGAAAAGGTACAACTTCACACTGGAAACTGCTCAAGGTGGTAGTGGAATTGTTCCTTTTAGATATACTGATTTGCAGCATGCTACAAGAAACTTCACAGAAAAGCTAGGTGAAGGTGGGTTTGGTTCAGTATTCAAGGGAGTTCTGGCTGACTCAACAACAATAGCAGTGAAAAGGCTTGCTGGTGCATATCAAAGAGGGAAACAATTCAGGGCTGAAGTTACCTCAATTGGACTTACCCAACATATAAATTTAATTAAGCTAATTGGGTTTTGCAGCAGAAGTGACAGCAAATTGCTTGTCTATGAATATATGCCCCACCGTTCCCTTGACATTCATCTATTCTCAGGTGATGCTGAAATCTTGAATTGGAATACTAGGTACCAAGTAGCTCTAGGAATTGCTAGAGGACTAGCCTATTTGCATGAGAGCTGTCGAGATTGTATTATACACTGTGACGTGAAACCTCAAAACATACTTCTAGACGAATCATTCATCCCCAAAATTGCAGACTTCGGAATGGCAAAGTTCTTAGGTAGGGAGTTCAGCAGGGCTTTAACTACAATAAGAGGAACCATAGGATACCTTGCACCTGAATGGATAAGCGGAGGGGCAATCACACCAAAAGTTGATGTTTACAGCTATGGAATGCTTTTATTGGAAATTGTTTCAGGAAGGAAGAACACACATAGAGAATGTACCACTGCTGGTGATGATGATACTTATTTCCCTGTGCAAGTTGCAAGCAAGCTTCTTTTGGGAGATATTGGAAGCTTGGTGGATCACAAATTACATGGCGATGTCAATCTAAACGAAGATGAAAGAGTTTGTAAGGTTGCTTGCTGGTGCATTCAAGACAATGAGCTCAATCGACCGACAATGGGTGAAGTGGTTCAAGTTCTTGAGGGTTTAATAGAATTAGACATTCCTCCAATGCCAAGGCTACTTCAAGCTATCGGAGGTTCTCATTCGGCGTGAGCGTAGTTTTTATTTACCGGAGAAAAAACTTTTAAATTCCAAGGGTTCACTAAACTTTTCATTAGCTGTGACAGGATTAGCATTTATGTTGTTTTTTATAAGAGAAATTTTATGGTGCTCGGAAAAAATGACAACCATTCATTCAACAAGATCGAAAGGTGGAAAATAGGAGAAACTCATTGAAAAGAACTTTGTGGGCCGAAACCATAAATTAATGGACTAGGAATTAATTACAAATGTATTTTAAAGGGTATAATTGTACTTACATAACTTGGTTTATCTTCTTCGATCCAACTCAAACAATGCAAAGTTGAACCCGATTCACTAGCCATGGACGTTGTTGTTAGATAATCTATTGCTACCTTGTGTGAACACAGCAAGGGAAGGTGGCGCCGAAAAGGCCTCCTGCTGTGATACTGTAACACTGCAGGTGCAGGCGCCGCACGGCTCACCTACAGCACTGTAGCCACATGCAGAGGCTGACGCAGAGTCAGCCCTGCTGTGTTATTTAGTCATTGTTGCAGTATGGCAGCTGTACTAGGACTGGATGAATAGAGTTGTATAAATAGACTGTCACGGCAACTCAGTAAAGAGAGTTCAGATTTGCCATCTCCGATACAGGGCTTCGACCAACGCTAGTGTCTTGTACTGTGTGTGTATGCTCTGTTCTCCCTCTTCCTCAACCTCTAGCCATAGTGTGTGGGGACGAACAACGTTTGTTCGTGCTCGGCACGGCTAGCGGGTGCTCGGCAACACTAGCGGGTGATCAGCAAGACTTGTGAGTGGTCAACTCACCTGAGCTGGTGATCCAATGGGCCAACAAGTGGTATCGGAGCCGTACAAATGCCGTCGCCAGACTAATCACTGGCGATGACGGATGGTTCGGAGATGGGCGACAGCAATGGCACTGCTGTGGCTGCCCAGCCACGAGCGGAGGTCGTTGTTCGCACGGTGCGGGAGGTCAGCGGCACCAGTTGGTCGACGCTGACTCGCACCAACTATGGAGAGTGGTCGGTGACCATGAAGATCAAGCTCAGAGCCCAACGGCTCTGAAATGCTGTTGACAAAGGCACCGACAATGAAGAAGATGACATGTCAGAGTTGGAGACTATCCTTGCTGCTGTACCGGTGGAGTACAGGGAGCCGTTGGCGGCGAAGAGCTCTGCTAAAGAGGTGTGGGAGGCTATTGCGGCGATGCGCGTCGGTTCCGACGGAGCAAAGAAGGCGACGACCCAGCTTCTGAAGTTCAAGGATGGTGAAACGGTGGAGGATTTCTCTCTCCGCCTGCAGACGCTCATCAGCAAGCTGAAGAGCCACGGCGTCACCATTGACGAAGAGGAGGCGGTCTCCGAGTACCTCCACTCCGTGCCGGCAAAGTACATCCAGATCGCTCTCTCCATAGAGACGATGCTGGACTTGTCCACCCTCACCATTGATGATGTGACAGGCCATCTGCGGGCGGTGGATGAGCGCCTAGAGCAGCCGACAGCAACGAAGGACAGCGACAAACTGCTGCTGACAGAAGAGGAGTGGGCTGCTCGGAGGAACTCCGGGAAGGCAGCCTCCTCCAGCTGCGGTGGCGATGGCAAGCGCCGCGGCAAGGCTTCTTCGAAGAGGAAGAAGCAGGTCGACCCCAACGCCTGCCGGCGTTGCGGGAAGATAGGCCATTGGACACGGGAGTGCCCAAACCACAAGCAGGAGAAGAAGGCCCAGACTCATCTCGCGCAAGCCGATGATGAGGATGAGGCCACTATCCTGATGGCGATGTTCTATGCACTGCACGACGTCGAGGCCGAGGAGAAGGTGGAGGTGATGGCGGTGGAAGGGTCTGGAAAGGCCCTGAAGGCCGTCAACCTCGACCAACCGTGCGCCCAAGTCCACCTTGGATGAGTGGACGGCGAGTTGGAGTAGCGATGGTACCTAGACTCTGGCGCCAGCAACCATATGACGGGCTCCAAGGAAGCCTTCTCCGAGCTCGACGACGATGTTACCGGTACGGTGAAGTCTGGTGACGGCTCAAAGGTGGCAATCCAAGGCATGGCACCTTCATCTTCAGGTGCCAGAATGGGGAGCACCACGTGCTAATGGATGTAGATTACATCCCGCAGCTGCGTTCCAGCATCATCAGCATTGGTCAGTTGGATGAGCGCGGTAGCGAGGTTCTGATCAAGGACGGAGTCCTAAGGATCAGAGACCAGGAGCAACGCCTTCTTGCCAAGGTGAAGAGGTCCCTGAACCGGTTGTACCTGCTCGACCTAAAGGTGGAGCAACCGGTGTGCCTGGCGGCAAGGCACACCGAGGAACCGTGGATGTGGCATGCCTGGTTCGAACATCTCAGCTTCGACGCGCTTGGTCGGCTGGAGAAGATGGTCCGAGGGCTACCCCACATCAAGCACGGAGGTGAGCTGTGTGACAGCTGCCTGGCCGAGAAGCAGAGGAGGCTACCATTCCCAAAGGCGGCCAAGTATCGCACGAAGGACGCTCTTGAGCTCGTCCACGGCGACCTCTGCGGGCCGATCACACCTGCTACAAATGGTGGTCGGCGGTACTTCCTCCTGCTCATGGATGATTGCAGTCGCTACATGTGGCTGCAACTCCTGACGAGCAAGGACGAAGCGGCGGCGGCGATAAAGAAGTTCAAGACACGCGCGGAGGCCGAGAGCGGCAAGAAGCTCCGCGTGCTGAGGACTGATTGAGGCGGCGAATTCACTTCGGTGGAGTTCACTGTGTACTGCGCGGATCAGGGTGTGGTGTGACACCACACCACGCCGCACTCGCCACAGTAGAATGGCATGGTGGAGCGATGGAACCAGACGGTGGTCGGCATGGCTCGATCCATGATGAAAGCCAAAGGCATGCTGGCAAGGTTCTGGGGTGAGGCGGTGACCACTGTGGTGTTCATTCTCAACCGCGCTCCCACCAAGGCCCTAGCGGGCAAGACACCGTTCGAGGCTTGGTATGGGCAGAAGCCAAGCGTGTCCTTCCTCTAGACATTCGGCTGCATCGGCCACGTCAGGAAGACAAAGCCGATCCTCACCAAGCTGGAGGACAGGAGCACACCGATGATGTTCCTAGGCTACGCGGAGGGTACCAAGGTGTACCGGCTCTACGACCCACGCGGAGATAAGGTGCTTGTCTCGCGCGATGTCGTGTTCGATGAGAAGGCGACTTGGGACTGGAGCAGTCCGAGCACGGGGGAAGCTAGCGGCTTCACCAGCACCTTCGTCGTTGAGCACTTGGTCATCCATAGGAGTGGAGACGTTGGGGAAGAGGTGTCGAGCGCTCCGGGAGGGGTGCCGAGCACTCCAGCGATAGAGCCAAGCACTCCTGGGGCAGTGTCGAGCACTTCGGGAGGGATGCCGAGCACTTCTAGAGGGATGCCGAGCACGCTAGGAGTGGTGCCAGGAGATTCTGCAGTGGCGGCGACCACTTTAGGATGGGTGCCGAGCACTCCCATAGAGGAGCCAAGACGTCTTGTAGTGGTGCCGACCACTCCAAGACTGAGGCTGAGCACTCCTGCAGTCGTGCCGAGCACTGCTGGAGTTGAGATGAGCTGTCCAGGAGTAGTGCCGAGCACTACATCCGGGGTGCCGAGCAGTCCGGGTGCTATACCGAGCACTCTGACGGAACAGAGAACTCCATCAACGCTGATCGAGTTCGCCTCACCTCCAAGTGACATCACTGAGTTCGTGGACGCCTACCACGAAGGTGAGGAGGTGCGGTTCCATAGGCTAGACGACATCAGCGGCGACAACGAACCCTCAGGTTTGGCGGGTAGGTTACTCAGTGATCCTGAGCTACTGCTCGTCAGTGCAGAGGAACCACCCACGTTCGCGCTGGCCGAGCGCGACGGAAACTGGCGACGAGCGATGCTGGAGGAGATGAAGGCGATCGAGGAAAACAAGAGCTAGCAGCTCATCAATCCACCTCCAAGATGCTGTCCGATCAGCCTGAAGTGGGTGTACAAAGTCAAGCGAGACGAGCTCAGCGCCATTGTCAAGCACAAGGCGTGCCTCATCGCCCGAGGCTTTGTTCAGCGCGAGGGCATAGATGTCGAGGAAGTCTTTGAGCCAGTAGTGCACATGGAGTATGTTCATTTGCTACTAGCCTTGGCAGCAGCAAAGGACTGGCGCGTCCATCACCTGGACGTTAAATCGGCCTTCCTCAATGGCGAGCTGGTGGAAACGGTCTTCATCAGGCAACCTCCAGGTTTCGCCATCAAGGGAGAGGAGCACAGGGTGCTCTGACTACGCAAGGCGCTCTACGGGCTACGGTAGGCCCCACGAGCATGGAATGCCAAGCTTGACGCCACGCTGGGCGAGCTTGGGTTCACGAGGTGCGCAACCGAGCATGCGCTCTACACACGATGATGGGGCAAGGAGGAGCTCGTCGTCGGCGTGTATGTGGATAACTTAATCGTCACCGGCGCGCGCATGGAGGACATCAATAGCTTCAAGCGGGAGATGGCGGCTCGTTTTCAAATGAGCGATCTCAGGGTACTTTCCTACTACCTCGGCATTGAGGTGAGACAGGGGAGGGAGGCACTCACGCTCGGACAGAGCGCGTATACCTCGAAACTGTTGGAGCGGAGCGGCATGGCTGAGTGCAAGTCATGTGTGACTCCAATGGAGGAGCGACTGAAGCTGACGAAGGCTAGCACCGTGGCGAAGGTGGATGCAATACTCTACCGGAGCATCGTCGGTGGTCTGTGCTACCTAGTCCACACAAGGCGGACATTGCGTTCGTCGTGGGCTACTTTAGTCGCTTCATGGAGGATCCTAGAGAGGATCACTGGGCTGCAGTGAAGCGGCTACTGCGCTACATCAAGGGGACGGTGGATCAAGGGATCGTCTTCCCCAAGAATGGCGGAAGTAGGCTGCAGCTCACTATCTTCAGCGATGCAAACATGGTGGGAGACATCGACGGACAACGGAGCACCTCTAGCATGCTCGTCATCCTCGGGTCGGCTCCAATTTCATGACTATCGCTGAAACAGAAGGTGGTGGCGCTTTCTACTTACGAGGCAGAGTATGTAGCGGTGACCACAGCAGCGTGCCAAGTTGTGTGGCTGCGCCGGCTGCTGGGTGAGCTGACCGACGTGGAAGCTCACCCACCAGCGCTGATGGTGGACAACCAGCCCGCCATCGCCCTCGCGAAGAATCTAGTTCTGCATGACCGGAGTAAACACATCAACGTGAAGTTCCACTTCCTCAGAGACTGTGTCGATAGAGGGCAGATCGTCATCGAGTTCGTCGAAACTGGTCGGCAACTCGCGGACGTCCTCACCAAGCCGCTCGGGCGTCTTCAACTCATGGAGTTGAAGGAGATGATCGACATGGAGGGGGTGCAAGGGTTAGCAGTAGGATTAGGGAAAAATTGTTAGATAATCTACTGCTACCTTGTGTGAACACAGCAAGGGAAGGCGGTGCCGAAAAGGCCCCCTGCTGTGATACTGTAGCCGCTGCAAGTGCAGGCGCCGCACGGCTCACCTGCAACACTGTAGCCACATGCAGAGGCCGGCGCAGAGACAGACCTGCTGTGTTATCTAGTCACTGTTGCAGCATGGCAGCTGTACTAGGACTAGATGGATAGAGTTGTATAAATAGACTGCCATGGCAACTCAGTAAAGAGAGTTTAGATTTGCCATCTCCCATACAGGGCTTCGGCCAACGCTGGTGTCTTGTACTGTGTGTGTATGCTCTGTTCTCCCTCTTCCTCAACCTCTAGCCATAGTGTGTGGAGACGGATAATGCTTGTTCGTGGTCGGCACGGCTAGTGAGTGCTCGGCAACACTAGCGGATGCTCGGCAAGACTGATGAGTGGTCAACTCACCTGAGTCGGTGATCCTGTGGGCCAACAGTTGTCTTCTCAGCGGCGGCCGTCAATCCCCTTTCTTGCTGGCGCTCCCTTCCCTTTTCTTATGCAACCATGCCGACCCTGGGGAGCGCATCGGCCTCTCGCGATCGCCTCCCGTCCCTGCCATCTTTCCCCATCTATCCGAAGCCGAGCAGGTGGGCACCGGCAACTCTGGGCAGGTGGGCGTGCGATGGTCTGCGGGCAGGCAAGCGGCAGTGACAAGGGCGGCATGCATGCGTCCGCTAGTGGGCTCTAGGAAGGCAAGCCACGGTGACCTTTACCAGGTGGGCGACGACGACTCTGAGTAGGCAGGTGGCAATGGGCTACAGGCAGGCCGCCAGCGGCAATGGGGGCAAAATGGCGTATCGCGAGCGGCAGCCGTGCGTTTAGAAGAAAACCATTGCTTCATTAGAGAATATAAAGTCAAAGTACCAAAATAACCTCAAATCAAATATAATTAATTAACTTTCTACATCATCAACGGCCGATAATAGTTACGCAGGGTGGAACCACCTGTTCCTCCATAGCACAGTACCGAACCTCTTTTTATAAAACTTATCAGACGTGGAATATACAATTTTGCCAGTTATTTTCAATAAATTTATCATAATATTTGTCTTTCTAGTTGTAACACCCCAGAAGAGAAAAGACTATAGCCTTCTTAAGTATTACCACACCATACTTCAACAAGAACATTGAACATCAGAGACCATATAGATTAGATGGTAGAGACTTTATTGTTTCTAAAACTAACATAACAAGCCATAACCATAATATAAGCTCCAACATAGACCATCTCTATTATTACAAAAGAAGAGTTTATTTGTGGTATATATCAACAAATATGCACTTGTACGCTACTCTCATCCCGCCAAGCATCCGAGAAGTTCATGTATCTAAGATTGGGAACAAGTGTGTGAGGTTTATGAAAAATCTCAGCAAGCAAACTGCCTTAACTAAGCTATTCAAACTACAGTTCGATTAATCAACAAATTTAAACAACAATAATAAAACAACAAATACTTCATGAGTTGCAACATACGACTTTATTTCTACCCACGCGTCCTAAGGAGGGAGAGTAAGAGTTGCAACCACATTGCTCACTTCAAGTGTGTAGTTGTAAGGGTACTTACAGCATTAATCTGGCTACAGTTTCTTCAAATGCATCTCAAATTGGAAGTGCAAATGCAATACTGCAATGTATGCACTTTACATACTTCATAATTTATAATTCAAGTAGCACCACAAAAAATGGAAAAAATGCATTCTTCAAAGTAAAACAATAACTTCAAATTTCAGTTTATATGACTAGCGTGAGGTATTGAAATTTAGTTGAAGCAATTCAAATAACAGAATTAAGCGTGTGGATCACAATGCTACGTTGACTTGCCTTCACCGAGGATTGAGCAAAAGATCTAGGCACACTCTAAAGAAAAACCATCTGACCACAAGAAATCCTTATTACCAACACTACCATACAAGTAACTAAAAATAATGAACAACGCACTACAATGTCATCCAAAACCCGTCGTTCAAGCAATCACCATTGTTCATGATAATACCACTTTTTATTCTCTTTTTCATAGACTTTTAACCATATATCAAAAAAATCTCAAACATTATCAAATCATAGAAACTTCATTAACTTTTTTCGACTAGAAACTTCATTATCTATGACATTGACATAGCGAGATTTGCCATATGATATCTTCAAAATGGCATAAACAACCACTGAACTTAATATTCTGACAACCAAAACAGGATAACATACTTCCAAAAAATCATAATTGATGATATATGATCCAGAAACTATGTACTTTATCAATCTAGAAAGCTTAAAACAAACCCTACAACTTTTTCGGATCTAAAGTTCAAATTCTTCCATTAAGATGGCCAAAAATGGATTAGATCTACATTCTACAGAACTCCATATTCTCGTCACTGAACAACAATCATCTTATAACGGTCATATCTCCCAAAATATAGGGTTTGTGTGGGTGATCTTGGTGTCAGAAGAAAGGTATTGAAGTGCTATATAACTTTGTTTACGGTGACAAAATTTATTAAGGTCACTAAAATGCCTAAAAACGAAGATTAACTGAGACTGCACAATGAGATTAATTTTGAGGATTACTCCAACTAAACCTCCTCTAATGAAATGATTTAATCCATAAAACTTAACCAAAAGATGTGAATTAATATTTGCCACTCACGTAGGGCAACCGCAGCGAATACGGTGACAAACACCTAGTGTTCCACTCCTTCCTTCCCTTCTCCAACTCAGGGCAATTCTCGCCGCTACGACCCTCCCGTCGTTTCAATCTAGACTAAACGTAACAAAGTCATCATGGACAGCAAGAGGAAACAGAAATTTAGGACAAATATAAAGAGTAGAAGATGTATTGGTTTTGTAGGAGGGATGAGCACGACGACAGATAACGGTAAGCCTAGCTTCTCTCCTCCCCATCTTCTCTTTCTCCGGTTATTTCTCCCGAGCACGAGTGAGAGGAGCAACGGCTCTAGATTTGTGGGGCTTGACTCAGATAGGGGAAGGATTTCAACTCAAAGCAAGAGAAGAATAGTCTGGATTTATTACTGTAGCATGTGGTTACTGTAGCTTTTCCGCCAGCCTTCGTGCCTAAAACACCTGTCACCCAAATTCTAGACAAAACCTGTGGCTCAAACAGATTCAACGAGCCCTATGCGCCCATAGCCTCTGATCATCCATTTAAATGGATAAATAAGTCAATTTTTGAACTCCCTTTGAAGTGCTCGGTTGGAACTTACAAAAAAAAAACTTAATCAATCTTTAAAACACATATTTATTCCCTATGTGTTCATGGGTGTTACACTAATTCAATTATTTGGTATTATAAATAAATATATTGGCTCTTAAGTACAAAAATTGATAAACCAAGAAACTTTGAAAGTAAGAAAAATCTGACTTAGAATAGATTAAACATAGAATGGAGGAAGTACCAAACAGTAAAGCACGCCATGGTATAGCGAACCAGTGAAGCACTAGCAGCCACCAGTGAAGCACTAGCAGCATTTGACGTAAACAAGGGAAGTGCATAAGCAGATTCAGACTGTGAACCCAAACAAAAAAACAAATTAGAGGGAATATGACATGATATGATCATTGTAATGCATTGACGTAAACACAGAAAGTGCATAAGCAGATTCAAACTAACCCAAACATAAAATCAAAGGGTATAATGGCATGATGTGATCATTATAGTTTGATTGTTTGATCCTCGTTTACTCAGCAGCCTTCTGCCTAGACAACTCACTGTGTCAGATGAAATGAAAAACACAACAAAACTGTGTACAAAAAAGAATGTAACCCCAAGACTGAAAACATATCCATAAATCAAGTATACATCTAATGTCAATAAAGGCAAAAAGAATATACAGGCCCTTGATAAAAATCACACATTAAAACATCACTCATTTTGACGGGGAAAAAAAACCATGTACTTGAGCGATTCCTTTTTGCAGGGCATGAACAATCGGGAAGCTCCAAGTGGCTTGCTCTGAGCAGATTCTTCGGAACGGGGTTATGAGCAACATAGCTAGAGTGACTGGCGCACACATCCACTGTGTCAGACAATACTTGGAACATCTCCAGCCCAGCTACAAACAGCTCGTGGCCACCGTGTCCTAATGCAGTCCACCAATGGTGCATGCTGATTAGTCTGAACTGGGGGAGCTAGAGAAAGAATACTGTCATCCTTGCTGCTGCTGGTTGATGCGCTTACAACATCAGCCAGATACTCATCTTGAGTCCACCTTGGGGGGACAGTGACATTTAGCTTGCATAACCTGGGTCTCTGTATAGGGGATGAGCCACCTGCACTTGCATTCCCATTCAGCACAGACTTGGCAATTCCATTGAAGTGGAAGATGGTGAATTGCTTCTTGCCCATAAGGCCAGTTGGATCCTTCATGCCTCCGGCCCTTTTATCCAACTGTAGCAATGCCTGCCAGAATTCACTCCATACTATAATGCCAGCATTACAAAGGTCCTCGAGTTTATCCGAAGGAAAATTTATGTCAGTATCCCTGAGGACTTGTTGGAAGCCCTCAACGCTGATAAAGCCTCCACCTCCACTTTGATCTTGGGCATCGAAAGCCCGTCTTATTTTTGATTCGCGCTCTTCCAGCTCATTCTCCTCTTGAACGTTGGGGTTCAGGGCAAAAAGGACAGTGTAGTGACTTTCACTTCCCACAACCCATATTGGCCACTTTGGGCACTTCAAGTACTGACCAACCTTGCAGAGATTTAGTGATTCCAGGAGGGTAAGAAAACCAACTTCAACACTGTTTGGTATGCCCTTCAAGGACATGCCACCACCAAGGTCCATCTTGCCATCAAATACATTTGGAACAGCCTCTCCACAGAGTAATAAATTCACAATTTCCTGAAAAGAAAATTAAATCGATATATCTTATTTGACCAGAATTGTATTAATAATGATGAACAGTGTGGAAAATAAATAGAGAATAAAATGTTACTATATTTTAATAAACATAGTACTGGCAAATAATATCTTATATCTGTTATGACATTTGTTCGAACAAATGATGGTAACACAGCTTATTTCCCGATTAAAATAGGATTTCATCAAGGGTGAGCCTTGAGCCCGTACCTCTTTGCTTTGGTAATGGATGAGGTTACCAGGAACATTCAAGGAGATATCCCTTGGTATATGTTGTTCGCTGATGATGTAGTGTTAGTGGATGAAAGCCAAGCGGGAGTAAATAGGAAACTAGAGTTGTGGCGGCAGACCCTTGAGTCAAAATGTTTTAGATTAAGCAGAATTAAAACCAAATACATGAGATGTGACTTTGGCGGAGCTGCACAGGAGGAGGGAGATGTGAGTTTGGAAGGTCAAGTAGTGCCTATCTAGGATCGATGTTACAGAAATGATGGAGATATTGAGGCGGACATTAGCCATAGAATTAAAGCAGGGCGGATCAAGTGGCGATAAGCTTATGGCGTTCTTTGTGACAAGAGAGTACCACAAAAGCTAAAAGGCAAGTTTTATAGAACGACGATTAGACCGGCTATGTTGTATGGAGCAGAATGTTGGCCTACAAAGATTCGTCATGTTCAACAACTGAGTGTTGCAGAAATGCGTATGTTGCGATGGATTTATGGCCACACAAGAATGGACCGAGTTAGGAACGATGATATACGTGACCGCCTAGGGGTAGCACCAATTGAAGAAAAGCTTGTCCAACATCGGTTGAGGTGGTTTGGCCATGTCCAAAGGAGACCATCAGAGAGGCACCAGTGCATTGTGGAGTCCTAAGCCAAGCTAATAATGTGAGGAGAGGTAGAGGTAGACCGAAATTGACATGGGAAGGCAATAAAAAAATATTTGAAAGCTTGGGATATACCTAGAGATCTATGTTTGAATAGGAGTGCTTGGAAAGCAGCTATTGATGTGCCTGAACCGTGACTAGGGGCTCTTGATGGGTTTCAACTCTAGCCTACCCCAACTTGTTTGGGACTGACAGGCTTTGTTGTTGTTGTATCTGTTATGACATTTAATATTGACATATCCAAGAGAAGCCACATTATTAACTGCTATGACATGTCTATGTCACATCTGCTAAAGAAAATACTCCATCTCAAAATATAAGGTGCAGTTTGACTTTATGCAGTCTTCAAGGTCACACTTTGACCGTGGATTTCTCTTTTACTCCCTCCATCTCAAATTATAAGTCATTCCAACTTTCGTGAAGAGTCAAAGCATCTCCAGTTTGACCAAATTTATATAATAAAAAATAATATTTATGATACCAAATAAATATCATTAGATTCTTCATTAATTATATTTTCATAGTATACCTATTTGATGTCATAATAAGATAACAAAGTTTGAATTTTGACATATGTGCAGCCTAATGTTTTGGGACAACCGAGTATGTTTATGACAATGATATCTATACCTGTGAAGCATGGCCAAATGGAGCAGTGACCAATGGCTGGCTTGGATCATCCCTGTCAGCTTGGATATCTTCCTGTACTTAGAAGGACAATTATACATGGTCAGAAAATGAAGATAGTGTTGACATGGTTCAACAAACAGGTTGATGGGCACTTAACAAATGAAAACTTTGTTTACCACTAGAACTTAAGATTGAAAAACTTTGTTTTCGACTAGAACATAAGATTGGGTCAAGAGGGGACAATCCTCATGAAAGCAAGTTGAGAACTTAAGTACTGATAAACACATACCAATCCTCGTGAAAGCAAAGCAGAGATAAGAAATAGCATGGCTCCCAGTCGACTTTCAAACAAAGGAATGTTAGCCAAAAGGGTGTTGAATGCATCCTTCCTTGAAGTAAATGTACTTGTTCTAAGAACTTTCTGCAGATCCATTGCTGATTCGACAGAAAGATCTTCCAAAACTGCATCGATTTTCTGCAATAAGTTTCATAAGAGCATTAGCCACATCCAAATAATCAAAGCTTATAATCAACTGATCACCACCACATCCACTTACTCCATGATTGGCACGCGCAACAGATGCTACAACAGCTCTTTTCTCAGTTCCACATAAAAAAAGAATCTCCACCATAGCATGAACCAATGCTCTACAAAGAACATCATCAGTGACAGTTATTTAGCTTAAAGAAAAATATCAAGTGTACATTGATGTATATCCTATGGAGTGTATAATATTATTATATAACACAAAACAGATATGGAATCATTTGCTCTCTCCAACAAATACATGTATATGGTTTCTGTAGAGTAATAATTCAAAAATTGCGTGCATTCATTGAATCCAAAATGCCAATATTTTAGCATTCCATAAGAATAGTGGCTCATACAAAAAAAAAGGGCGTACCCAGTGCAGAGAGCTCCCGCTCTGTGCAGGGTCTGGGGAAGGGTGTCAGTGGCAAGCCTTACCCTCGCCTGTGCAGTGCGAGGAGACCGCGACTCGAATCCGGGACCTTCCGGTCACAGGCGGTAAGACTCTACCACTTGCACCAGGCCACAAAACACTTAATAAATAAATAATAACATTAAAATACTGAAATCAGCACCATTTGTAAGGAACGAGAAACCACCTTGTCTTTCTATCATCAGTCAGGGACGAAAAATCATCCCCTGCAGCAAAAGAACTCTGATAAAAACGTCTTTGTCCCAGAGTATACAGCGGGTTACTAAACTCTGGATTACTCAAGTCATCAGAAAAAAACAGAAGATATTTAAGGACATAAGCCTGCAAACCAATTATAAGCTACCATCAGAAATGTTAAGCTTGCAGAGAGCAAAAGGAATTTAGCAACAGGCAATGAAGTAGATAGTTAGATTATTGAAAAACCAAGAAACTTTAAAATCAGATGGGGACTTCATGCATACAAAAGGGTATATATTTGATAAGCTATCTTAGCTTTTTAAAAAAAATTGATGCAACAATTGGATACACCAACCTTATCTCCTCAAAGCATGTCTTTCTGGACTTCAGATTATAAAAAAAGGATTTCTTTCATCAGGATGGCTCTAAATGATACTACGAAGTTGAAAGAAAAAGATTATACCAATGTGAACGTTCTTCAAGGTAGTTAAGCCAAATGATTTTGGTGTTGCAGCTTCCACTTGGCAGAAGGGGAATATTAGCAGTTACCATTTTATCAATTTAAATGATATCTAGAATGGCATTGATAACACATGGTCAGAAACTAGAAACAGAACCTTAGAAGTTCACATTTTAAGGCACAAATGAAAGTTTGAGCAGAAGATCAGGGAATGGGAAGCTTTCTGCCCCCAATATATGCCACAAACTACATTCAAGTAGTTAGAACTAGGAAAAGTGTAAGATGCACCGATGGTCCTTAAACCTGTACCTACTCCCTGAAAGCTTACAAAATGAAGATTTTGGTACCTTAACTTGTTAAGTGTGATACTTGAGATTCAGATCTCCTTAATTAGCAAGTATCTACCTATGTTAATGCTGATTTAGCAGTTCTTGAGGCAGGCTACAGACAGAGTAGGCAAGCATTTGAACATCAAGTGGCACACTTAATAAGTTAAGAACCAACATCTCCATATTAAAAGTTTAGGAACCTAGATAGCACCACTAAAAAGTTTAGGGGCCTAGATAGCACCGGTAAACAATTTCATGAGCCACTGGTGAATTTGACCCTTAAGAAAATGAAGGAATGTTTTCAAAGAGGCCTTAGGATGGGATAAGACACCTACACATGTCCAGGAAATCTTTGATCAGTTTATAGCCCTTCATGACAAGAATTATCAGATTAAACTTTTTATTTTTATTTTCTATTGTGATGTGGGGAATTTGGACAATCCGAAACAAAATGGTAATAGAAAAACGTTTTCTGGGGTCATCCAATCAGGCTTTTTATAAGATCTTTGCTTTATTGTATAAATGGTGCAAACTAATGAAGGGGGGAGATGTCAAGATCTTGGAAAACATGGTCGACAAGGTGAAAGAGTGGAATTTCTGGCAGCAAACTGAGAATATGGAGATTGAAGGGATCATCTAAAAAAAATTTCTGTGTGGGGAGTGAAACTGTTCTGTGGTCTGATCTATGTGTTTGCTTTGCTCTCTTCTTTGGAACCGAAGGCCTTGAAGCACCAGGAAGGAGGGCGCTATCCTGATGCCGATGGAGTTGCAGAAAGGAGCATCATTAGTTTTTCCTTTTTAGCTTAGTCTTCTCTGGGTCCTGTGGACCTGTTACCTTTTTAGCTTGCGAAGGTCGTTTGCTTGCTTGTAGCAAGTCAGGGGTCTTCTATCTTCAGGGTGTTCTTGTTTTTTCTCTGTTTTGGCCGGTGTTATGAACGGCGCTTTCAGGTTTCTATGCTTTCGTTGTAAGCTGGTATCCCCAGCCACTATGTATCGGATACTTGTTTGCTTTATAGAAGCAGGGTTTACCTCTGTCAAAAAAAAAAATGAAGGAATGTCACATACCTGCACGGTTGCTAAGACACCACAAGGACCTCCTTCATGTTGTACAAGCCCCATAGTTGTTTCTGGGTCGGAGCTAAACCTGCAGTTGTTTTAAACAACAGTAAGACAAAGAAAAATATCTGTCCTTCAGTTCTTGTAGTGAAAAGCATAATATGTTTGGCACTGTTTTTATATCCAAGCAACTTTGTGCACATGCAACAAATAGTGCAAGATTGTAAATGTTGGTACTTGGTACTTGGCCTTGGCCTTGTCAATCCGAAGAAGTTTCTAGTAAATGACTAGAGCAAGCCACAGCCCACGATGACAAATAAATTAATTATAGCACCTTCTTGTGTTCCCTAAGCAGCGATCATGACATGAGTCTACATTTGATCTATCATTAGCACCAAGCGCCATTTTCCAAAAACACTTGTAACATCTGTAACAACAAAATATACACATCAAACAGTTTCTTTGGTCTGTGAAGACAATCCATGGTAGGCCGCTAGCCATCCTTGTTTAAATGTTACCAAACAACATTCGAGATGCTTCGGTTAACTTCCCTATATCTTGCTCTCTCTAGGCTCCAGAACCATAATCCTAGATATACAACAAACTAACTCTATCAAAAGGTGTTGTTGACTTAGAACCTAAAATTGGTGTGCCAGGACCTTCATTAATATAAAACAGCTCTTTACTCAATATACTTTGGATAAAATATCACCAAAAGAAAATACAGAAAATTAGAAATGCTACTTTGAAAACCCTAATTCTGGTCTTCAGAAACACTAACAGAGTTGCCTTGAACATCTCACGTTAGTTTGAGCTTGCTAGCCCAAGAACCATGTCGGGAACTATCAAGCATGGCCTTGTGCTCCAAGATCATATTCAAAGAAGGAATCTTAAACTAATAGCAGCTCATACATCAGGAACATATTTCCAGATAAGGGAAGTGACAGCTATAAGTCTTGTCCTTATCTACTTAGGATACTTACCTAGAGTAGTTGGTGGCTGTGTCAGCCCTTATCTTTATCCCTAGCATCTACTTTAGCATCTCTAGAATATGTTGTAGCTTTCTTAAGGCTCAAGCAAGCTATCCTATATGTATCCCCAACCTGCCATAGTTGTGGCATGGCTAATGAAATCTGAAATTCAACCCCAAACCTGTGTTTTGGTTCTAACAAATGATATCTAGAGCCTAAGTTCATCTGGGATCTACCCTTACCCCATCCCAATCCGTCGTCATGTCTCTCCACTCCTCATCCTCTTCCTCCAACCGTTCCACCACCTCCAGCATACGTGCTGCAGCGGCTGCAGCAGCCAGGCGCGAGGAGGCGGCGGCCGAGCGTGCAGCAGCAGCGGAGCGGGCGGCTCGCATCGCCCAGGCGGAGCTTGCTGCGGCGCGTGCGGATGAAGCCGCCCACCAGGCAGCAGCGGAGGCGCGGGAGGCTGCAGCAGCAGCGGCTGCGCTCCGTGCGGAGGCGGACGCGGATGCGGGCGAGCAGGAGGACTACGGCGCCCGAGCGGGCGTGTCGGATGCAGGAGCGGCGGCGGCGGCGGCTCTGCGCCGCGGAGCGGACGCCGAGCGGGCCTGGCCCGACGCGGGCGGCCTGGGCGGACGCGGTGGACGTGAGGCTAGCGACCGCGACGGCTTCGACGACCGACGCGGACGCGACGCGGGCCGCTTCGACGGACGACGCCGCGACTTCGACCGGGACGCACGGGACCGAGACGAGCGGGCGGCACGCGGCGCCAACGCCTGGCTGGAGCGGGAGGAGCGGCGCGAGGCGCGGGACCTGGGCAGACGGGACGCTGGCGTGCGGAGCCCTCACAGGTAGCGTGCCTCCCCTTCCCCGGACCGGCGCCGTGGTCGCCGTGGCCGGCCCGGCTCCCCTCCCGTCATGCAGACCGTCGTCAAGGACGCCGGCGGCGGATGGCCCATGCTCACCAAGACCAACTACGCCGAGTGGTCCATGGTGATGAAGGTGAAGATGCAGGCGCGGCGCATGTGGGATGCGGTACGGTACGGCGACGCCGACTTCGACGAGGATCGGCGGGCACTGGAGGCGCTTCTTGCTGCTGTTTCGACGGAGATGCAATCCTCCCTCGCGAACAAGCGGACCGCCAAGGACGCCTGGGACGCCATCGCCGCGGCACGCATCGGCAGCGCCCGCGCCCGCAGGTCCACGCTTCAGAAGCTGCGTCAGGAGTGGGAGAACCTAGCTTTCAAGCCGGGTGAGGACGTCGATGACTTCACTCTCTGCCTCAACACCCTGATGCAGCAGTTGGCGTGGTACGGCGACAACGACATCGATGAGGAGAGAGCTGTCGAGAAGTTCCTCCGCGTCGTCCCCAAGAAGTACTCGCAGGTCGCCATCGCGATCGAGATGTTGCTGGACTTCTCCGAGCTGTCGATCGAGGAAGTGACGGGTCGCCTCAAGGCCGTCGACAACCGCGAGCAGCGACCTCCCTCAAAGCCGGTCACCATCGGTGGCAAGCTTCTCTTCACCGAGGAGCAGTGGCTCGCCCGCCAGCGGGAGTGGAAGAAGGGGGAGGCCTCGGGTTCTTCGGCTTCAGGTTCGTCGAGCAGCCGCAAGCATCGGCTGCGCAAGCGGGACAAGGCGCGTGGTGGCGCTCCTGGCGACGCCGACGACGAGCGCAAGGCTACCCGTGACGACACCTGCGGGAGGTCCGGCCACTGGGCCAAGGACTGCCGGCAGGCGAAGCGCGGCGGTCAAGAACACGTCGCGCAAGCGCAGGAGGGTGACGAGCCAGCTCTATTCTTCGTACACGGTGCATCGAGCCGCACTCCTCTCCCGCGTCGGCCGCCGCCGCGCTCCTCCACCTCGACGAGCCGCGGGCTCACGTCTTCCTCGGCAACGGGTCCGGCGGCGACAAGATCGACGGGTGGTACCTTGACACCGGCGCCACCCACCACATGACCGGGCGGCGGGAGTTCTTCTCCGAGCTCGACTCCGGCGTTTGAGGATCCATCAAGTTCGGGGAGGCCTCCGCCGTGGAGATCAAGGGCGTCGGCTCCGTCGTCTTCAACGCCAAGACCGGCGAGCACCGGCTGCTCACCGGTATCTACTACATCCCCGCGCTGAGGAACTCCATCATCAGCCTGGGACAGCTAGATGAGAACGGCTCGCGCGTGGAGATCGAGCACGGGGTCTTACGTATCTGGGATCGCCGTCGTCGCCTTCTCGTCAAGGTGAATAGAGGCGTCAACTGCCTTTACGTCCTCCACGTGCAGGTGGCGCAGCCCGTGTGTCTTGCAGCCCGCCACGACGACGACTCCTAGAGGTGGCACGAGCGCTTTGGGCACCTCAACTTCGAGCCCCTGAAGCAGCTCAGCAACAAGAAGATGGTGCCGGGCATGCCCCGAGTCGAGCACGTGGAGCAGTTCTGCGACACCTGCGTCCTCACCAAGCAGCGGCGGCTCCCCTTCCCCCGCCAGGCGAGTTTTCGCGCCAAGGAGAAGCTGGAGCTCGTGCACGGTGACCTCTGCGGCCCCGTGACACTGGCCACACCTGGAGGCTGGCGTTTCTTCCTGCTCCTCGTCGACAACGTGTCCCGCTACATGTGGGTGGTCCTGCTCGACACCAAGGCGGCGGCTGCGGACGCCATCAAGCGCCATCAAGCTGCTGCGGAGGAGTGCGGCCGCAAGCTTCGGGTGCTACGCACCAACAACGGCGGTGAGTTCACGGCGTACTACGCCGACGAGGGGATCCAGCGCCACTTCTCCGCGCCGTACACCCCGCAGCAGAACGGCGTCGTTGAGCGCCGCACCCAGACGGTGGTGGCCACCGCCCGCGCCCTCCTCAAGCAGAGAGGGATGCCGGCCATCTACTGGGGGGAGGCGGTGATGACTGCCGTCCATCTCAACCGCTTGCCCACCAAGGCCCTTGACAGCAAGACGCCGTACGAGGCCTGGCATGGGCGCAAGCCGATGGTGAGCCACCTCCGCGTCTTCGGATGTCTCGCCTTCGCCAAGGAGCTCAACCACGTCGGCAAGCTCGACGACCGGAGCACGCCAGGGGTCTTCATCGGCTACACGTTGGGCGTCAAGGCCGACCGCATCCTCGACCCTGCAACACAGCGTGTCCGCATCTCCCGGGACGTCGTGTTCGATGAAGGGCGAGGCTGGGCCTGGGACAAGGCGGTGGACGACGGCTCGACTTCGACTCTCAAAGGCTTCGTCGTCGACTACGTCCACTTCGAGGGAGCCGGGGGAGCTAGCAGCTCATCTTCATCGAGCTCGTCTACCTCAGCACCCGGCTCGCCATCAGCTCCGGCGAGTACTCCACCGCCTACACCACCAGCAAGTCCTCCACCACCTGTACCACCGGCTACGCCCTACTCTCCTACACTGGCTCCCCAATCTCCTGCATCGGCGCCCACACCTCCGAGATCGGCACCAGCAGCCTTGGTCCGTGACGAGCAGCGCACGGTGGAATTCGCCACTCCGCCGTCCGACGACGAGGATCGCGTCGATGCCTACCACGACGACGAGCCTCTGCGCTACCGCACCCTGGACAACATATTCGGTGATCAGCCCGTCCCTGGACTGGCGGTGCACGACTTCGAGGTGGAGCTGCACCTGGCGCACGAGGACGGCGAGTCCCGCTCCTTCGCTGAGGCGGAGGCAGACGCGGCATGGCGCGCCGCGATGCAGCAGGAGATGGACGCGGTCGAGCGGAACCGGACGTGGGAGCTGGCGGATCTTCCTGCCGGCCACCGCGCCATCACCCTTAAGTGGGTCTACAAGCTTAAGAAGGATGAGGCCAGAGCGGTGATCAAGCACAAGGCGCGTCTGGTGGCGCGCGGATTCGTTCAGCAGGAGGGAGTAGACTTCGACGACGCCTTCGCGCCCGTTGCGCGGATGGAGTCCGTCCGTCTCCTCGCACTGGCGGCCCAGGAGGGTTGGCGTGTGCACCACATGGACGTCAAATTCGCCTTCCTCAACGGTGACCTGAAGGAGGAGGTCTACGTCCACCAGCCGCCGGTATTCGTCATCCCCGGCAAGGAGAACAAGGTTCTTCACCTACGCAAGGCCCTCTACGGCTTGCGGCAGGCACCCCGAGCTTGGAATGCCAAGCTGGACTCCACTCTCAAGCAAATGGGGTTCCAGCAAAGTCCTCACGAGGCTGCAGTCTACCGGCGGGGCAAGGGAGGCAATGCCCTGTTGGTAGGCGTCTACGTCGACGACTTGGTGATCACCGGCACCAAGGAGGCCGAGGTGGAGTCATTCAAGGAGGAGACGAAGGCGACCTTCCAGATGAGCGACTTGGGCCTTCTCTCCTTCTACCTGGGGATCGAGGTCCACCAGGACAGCTCCGGCATCTCCCTTCGCCAGACCGTCTACGCCAAGCGCATCGTCGAGTTGGGCAGGCTCACCGGCTACAACCCAGCACACACTCCCATGGAGAGGCTGAAGCTGAGCCGCGACAGCACGGCGAAGGAGGTCGACGCCACGCGGTACCGACGCATTGTGGGCAACCTTCGCTACCTCGTCCACACACGGCCGGACCTGACGTTCGCCGTTGGCTACGTCAGTCGGTTCATGCAGCGACCGACGACGGAGCACGAGCAGGCCGTCTAAGAGCATCCTCCGCTACGTCGCGGGCACTTCCGACTACGGCTTGCACTACCTGAGGTGTCCCGGTGCGGAGCACTTCATCGGGTACAGCGACAATGACGTCGCCAGCGACATTGACACAAGCAAGAGCACCAGCGGGACGCTATTCTTCCTTGGCAAGTGTCTAATCAGCTGGCAGTCGGTCAAGCAGCAAGTGGTGGCTCTGTCCAGTTGCGAGGCGGAGTACATCGCTGCCACAACCGCTTCGACTCAAGCTCTCTGGTTGGCTCGGCTGCTAGGCGATCTCCTGGGCAGGGACACAGAAGCAGTGGAGCTTAGGGTGGACAGCAAGTCCGCCTTGGCTTTGACGAAGAACCTCGTCTTCCATAAGCGCAGTAAGCATATCCGCATCAAGTACAACTTCATCAGGAGCTGTTTGGATGAGGGGAGTATCAAGGCCGGCTACATCAACACCCAGGATCAGCTCGCCGATCTTCTCACCAAGTCCCTTGGGCGGGTCAAGTTCCAGGAGCTTCGCGCCAAGATTGGGATGGTTCAAATTCCCCAGAAGGCGCCACACAAGACTTAGGGGGAGAATGACAGCTATAAGTCTTGTCCTTATCTACTTATGATACTTATCTAGAGTAGTTGGTGGCTATGTCAGCCTTTATCTTTATCCCTAGCATCTACTTTAGCATCTCTAGAATATGTTGTAGCTTTCTTAAGGCTCAAGCAAGCTATCCTATATGTATGCCCAACCTGCCATAGTTGTGGCATGGCTAATGAAATCTGAAATTCAGCCCCAAACATGTGTTTTGGTTCTAACAGGAAGGAGGCTAATGAAAAAAATGGAAACCATCCAACGTAATCACCTTTATTAACAGAATAAGAGATACTAGGCACATAGTAATTGTGATGCAGAGAACAATAAAAAAGGGCAAAGAAGTAAAATCAGTTTCCATTCGTGCGGACACCGTGTATTTGCAGTGATACAAGATAAAAATATTAAACTAATAGCAGCTCAGTAAGTAGTCCATTACATACTGCAAACAGGAACCAAAATTGCCTTTTTTTTACAGTACTAGCCTATATAAATGCCGATGCAGTTAAGGGTAAAGCAGTAACGTATGCGTGCCTCATAGTTTAGCAATGCAGGGAGTGGTTATTGACATGCAACAGCTCTGTTCTCAACCGATTCTAACTCAAACAGTCTACACTATAAGTCCTAGACTTTAAGCGCAGTTAAGCATTACTACATGCCAATGGTAGAACCATAACAAATCTCAGATACACACACCCTTCAGCCATTGTCGCAAAACTACACAGGAATAACTACTGCCCCTAGATTATTAGACTGTCACCTCACCATCCTTTCACCACCAAGCAATATAAATACTGTCCTCGTGAACATTGTAACAGAGGTCTCAACACCCATCAGCATGCCCATCAGAAACACAAATGGCATGAACAAGCAAACTGCACTCTTGTGACAGACCACAGACTGGCTACATCTTCATCGGAACAGAAATATACTGATCAGAGTAATGTCTTATTACTTTATTAGCTCCAACAACTAGATGAAAGCTACAATGTCCACCAAAATTCATATCTACAATCAAACCAAGCCATAGCTTACACGCATAAGGAAGAGACAGTAGCAACTAAAAGAACCTCACCTTATGCCCTGATTACTCCACTGCGCCAAGACCGTCTTTGAAACCCCTCCCCCAAACACCATTGCCCACAGATTCTCAGCGACATCTGGAGGCAACTCCTCCCCTTTTTCTTCCTCCTCCTCCTCCACCTCTTTCGCTTCCTCCATAGATACGCCAGCTTGTTCCGGCTCCTCCTCCTGCTCTTTGGTGGCCTCCAGGGCAGGGGCTGCTGGCTCCACCACCACCGGCTGCGGAGAAGACCGCGCCACCGAGACGGCGGCCGGTGAGGCGGCGGCGCGGAGGCGCTTCTCGGCGGCGGCGGCCATGAGCTCACGCTGCTTCCGGCGCGCCTCCGCCTCCGGCGACTCCGCAGCGGGGGGCGGGGGCTTGCTGCGCTTGGCCTCGGGCTGCGCCGGCGGGGAGCCCTGGAGGCTCATGCGGAGCGCCATCTGGAGCTCCTCGTCCTCCTCCCGATCCCCCATTGGAGCAGCTCCCGCCGAGACCTAACCGGATAGATCCGCCCCAAACCCTAGGGCGGGCGGGCCGGGGGTTTGGCGCCTGCGCCTCGGGCCCCGTCAGAGGCCCCGAGCTGGGAACAGGGTAGCGATGCAACAAGAGAATGGAATCTGGGCGCGGGGCATCGGGATCCGGGAAGTGGCGGCGGCTGACGCGGCCAAAGTGGCAGCGTATTTGTAGGGGCGGGGTCGTCTCGTCGCGGCGGCGAGGCGACGGGACGGAGGCGGTCGGGGTGTCAGAGATGCGAAGGCCGAAGGACTCGTCGGGACGGGTTCTCCGGGGACTGCGCTCCAACTCCAACCGAGGTATCTAGTCGTCACCCGGTCTTGTCTAGTCATGATGCGATAGTTTTTGTTTCGTAACGGTTCAAGATGGCAACGGTAAAACCCGGAAAATACCGACGGGTTTTACCCGATAAGGAGACGGGTATGGAAGACATTTTGCACACCCACGTTATTGGACCATTTTCATATTTGTCGGGTATCATGGATTCTGGTGTGGGTGTATACTACCCATACCAGATACCATGCCAAAAAACATGATGGATAAATAATATCCAACCTCTGCAATTTTAGCCATATAAGCATATAACCCATATTTGACCCATATAAGCATATGATATATATATATTCAAGAACTCCTCCCCCTAATCCTCATCCTCATCCACTCCACCATATTATATTTCGGATTTGAATATCTCTATTGTTGATTTGTCTTCTTTGGAAGCTATTATATTTTCTGTGTGAACTGGGGTATATTGTCGGGTAAGAATTACCCGTCGGGTAAAATACCCGTCAAAATCGTTTATGGAATGAATTTTCTACCCGCTTTGGGGGTAACCTTGGGTCTTGATCTTGATCATGGCCCATGCGATAGTAGGTGGTTTTGACAGTGCGTGCACGCACTGCCATCATCTTGAGTAACGGTCGGTACCGCAGAGTCGAATCCCGACTTCTTGGGCGGGCAGAATGAATGTGAAAATTGTTTCGAGCCAAATGCGTGTGAATTGAAGGTAATAATGGCAGTGTTCGGCTGGGAAGAAACCGGGATCGGTTTATTTTTTTTAGCCGGAGCAATATTTTTTTCTTACAACATTTTTAGTATGAACAATATTTTCAGTATAAAGAGTGTTTTTTTATCCTAGCCGACCACTGCCAATAGCTTCGGTCCGGCAAATTATTGTCCGGGTCTGCAAGGAGTATTTATTATAGCGTTTAAATTTTGTTTATAAAAATGTCATTGCAGACAAATTTATAGATCCCTCCAAGATATGGACTTTCTAGTTTGGTTGGAGCTTAGGTTCACGTCAGCTAGAAACTAGTTCAGAAAACCATAGTGGGTTCAGCGCTTTTCTTTTCCAATCCATGTCCGCTCTCGTATCCTCTCATTTCTCTCTCTCCATCCTCACCGGCGCCATTAGGCCTGGGCGTTCGGTTATACCAAACCGAACCAATCGGTTCTTCGGTTTTTGAAGAAGTTCGGTTCTCAGGAAACTCGGTACCGATCGGTTCTTCAAAAAACTCGGTACCGACCAAGTTCGGTTTCGGTTAGTTCGGTTCGATTCTCGGTTCTAACCAAACTAACCGTTCAATTATTGAACAGGTTACAGTAGAAAAATTCAGCAGCATTTTGACTGTTTTCATGGCATAAATGACATGGCAACATATGTGTCCGTACAGAAAGTGACCAACTAGTGAATATTTGTAGTTTTGTTGTACATTGTGATCGGAGGTGGCCTATCACTCAATGACACAGGATTTATACTGGTTCAGCAACGTGCCCTACGTCCAGTTTGAGTCGGTCGGTGACTTTATTCCTAAGCCCAGGTGCTCGAAATATGTAGTGGGGTTATAAACGAGAAGGAGAAAGGTGGGGTGTACGAGAGGCCCAGGTCGGGTCCAACCGGAAGGGCCGAGGGCGACCGGAACTCCGCTATGAGCTAGGTGTTCGAGCGTGAGCTTGAGGGGCCGTGAGCTATCGATCTAGTGAATCTTAACTTGAAGAAGTCACCCCCTCTTTGTTGGAGGGAGCGCAGCCCCTTTATAGATAAAGGGGGTGATTTTACAGGTGGGAGAGAGAGAGTACGGATGTTTCTAAGCCTTGTTGCCCACACCGACGAGGGTAGCGATGATGGTAGGCGCCCACAATACTGTTGATGTCACTATAGAATGTCAGGTGCACATGAGAGGTTGTGTTAGCTTCTTTAGGAAGAATGGACGTCGGTACCTGCAAAATACCTTGGGTATGTGAGGAGCCCTACCACGTGTACCAGGTATGGTGAACCATAGCGCCCACAGTACTATCGATGCCCAGAGGTACGTGGGGGGCTTTTTTGCCGTATGGGAGTCCAACGGCGCTTACAATACTGTAGACATAAATGTCGGTGCCTATAATACTGTTTGTGTCAGGGCGGTTATGGAGCACTGTTCCCGCAGGTGTACAGGGAATGGTCCTGGTATCGTGGTTTGACTTGTGCGCTGCCTTCTCCGTTTGCCCCTGATCCCTTTCGAGCGGGCGTTCCTGGTCGGATGGCCCCAGTCGGCCCTGGCCACGCCAATCGGAGAAGAGCGGTAAGCAGGCTTCCTACGGGTCCTCGGTCGGAGACGCGGGGTCGGAGTGGGAAGCAGCATTTTGGGCCAGGCCTTCCGATCGGAGAGACCGCCCTAAGGCGGCTGGTGCCCGAAGCGAGTGCTCTGGTCGGAGAGGCGGGCCGAAGAATTTGACGAGCGGGCGCTTGTTATTTCGGGTAGTCCTTCTGGTCGGCGACCGGACTGTCCTTCCGGCCCGCTGTGTTTTAGACTTTTGGGCCGGCCCATGAACTACATGTTGTTTTCTTGGGCTGAGCCCTGGCGTGGAAGCCGGTCCCCGAGGGACCCCGGGTTTATGAACCCGACAAGAGCCCCTGAGCCCTCGGGCGATTTGAGTAGAATCATCCGGGGGATTTTTGTCTTGCCGGCGGGTGCGCGCGAGCGCACCCGCGGGTGTAGTCCCCGAGCCCTCGGGTGGTTCAGGTAGAACCGGCTGGGGGGTTTTCTGTGTTGTCAGTGAGGGAGGTTTTTCTATTGTGTCGGCGGGTTCGCGCGAGCGCATCCGCGGGTATAGCCCCCGGGCGGTTCGGGCAGAACCGTCTAGGGGTGTTGTTTCCATGAGCGTGTGTGTATGTTTTTAGTTTTGAGACGGTTTTTTGTTAACCTCGGCGTCGTTGCACAGCCGAGGCGTTTTTTAGGCACGGGGACGAGACAGAACTTACTGATCCCGGTGTCGGTGCGCTCCGTGGATCAGGTGAGAAGGTTTAGTTCAGGACAAACCCTAGCATCGGTGCGCGCCACGGATGGAGATAGCTCAGTTCGAACGTGTCAAAGCTCACTGATCTTCGGCGTCGATGCGTGCCTTGGGATCGAGCGAGGCGGAGCCGTGGACAGGCCCAGGCGTCGGTGCGCGCCGTGGATCGAGAGAGTTAGTTTAGTTAGTTTAGGAATCGGACGAGCCGGAGCTCATGGATCATGGGAGCGCAGTCGGAAGTGAAGTCGTTACGCGAGTTTAGGAGTCGCGGTCCCAGGTTTTATTGGAGTGCAGTCAGAAGTGAAGCTGTTACACGAGTTTAGGACTCGTGGTCCCAGGTTTTATTGGAGCGTAGTCGGAAGTGAAGCCGTTACGCGAGTTTAGGAGTCACGGTCCCAGGATTTATTGGAGCGCAGTCAGAAGTGAAGCCATTTGAAGCCGAAGCGTAGTTAGTTTGGTTAAAGATCGGACGAGGCGATGCTCGCGGATCCTGGCATCGGTGCGCGCCGCGGGACCGGGTGAGTCAGAGTCGTGGATCTAGCGAGTTCGAGGTCGCCATCCTTGGCATTTATCTTGAGCCCCTGAGCCCTATCGAGCCTTCGTAGGGGTCGATGTGAGTATTGTGCATTACCCCATCCTCGGTTCCTCACAAACCAGAGGGGCTGAGTTTCATCGCCTGTCCTGATCGCTCGGGCTCGAAGACTAGCTCGGTGAGTTCGCTAACGGGTGTGATCAAGTGGAATCTGGGTCCGTCGTTCGTGATGGGGTCGGCATAGCCCTCTTGTGACATTCCACTACCCCTTTACCTACAACCCGACAGATGCCTAGGTCGTTCTAGAGACGGACCCGGGTGGCCTAACAGCCTCCCCTTCGATGGAGATTCTGTGGGCCTAGCGAGAGGTTCAGGATCAAACGAGAAGGTTGAGATGACCCGGTCTGCCGGACCGGGCGAGGGCCGCACGGTGCTCATCTACGGTTTTCTCCCCTGGCTCTGTTGGTTGCCCATGTCGAATGAGGCAACCGCCACTTTGTGACGCAACACGGAGCGTTCTGGTGCATTTCACTGCACGTGCGATGCTTAGTTCCCGAGCCCCCGGGCGGTTCAGGACCCGAATCGTCCGGGAGGCGTGGGTGTATGAAATGAATGCGTGTATGGATGTATGAATGATTTATAAAGAAATAGAGGGGGTTCTGGTAATGTTTACCTTGACGACTGGAGTGACAGGGCTCGGAGAGCTTCAGTCGGAAACGTCCGACCGGGACCCATGCTTGTCATTCGTAACGGAGTCAGCATGGCCCACATGGGGCGTCCCTCCGCTTCCTACCCATGTCTCGGTGTTTATCCTGAGCGATTCGATCGACTCGGGGGATCGATTGGTCTCCCGGTGGAGATTTCGTTTTTTTGATTTCCTCGGGTCAGGCCTAGAGAAGCGGGGAGCTACCTGCGTGCGGTGGCGCTTCGGTTCCTGTGTCCGTCGTGTGGTAGTGGTTGATCGTGCGGTGGTGGTGGGCCACAGCCAGGCCACGTCCCGTCTGATCAGGAGCCGTTCCATCGAGCAGGGCGCGTCTCATTGGTTCAAGGCACGTCTTATCTGCATTAAATGGAAAAGAGAGAGAAATTCTTGCTCTGCCGTTCTGCCTTCCCCGATCGGCGCGTCCTTCCTTAACCGTTGTTCCCTTTTCT